GGGATCTGTGGGGATTTAGAAAAAATAGTGCATGAGGGTTGTTCATGTTGCCGACCTGTCAAGTTGCAATCCTCCTTTGATGTGTGTGTGTGTGTGTGTGTGTCCATTTTGCAGGGAAGGGGAGGTGTGTTTATGTGAGTCAAAGTGACTGCACAAAGATTCATGTCAGTACAACGTCCGTGTGCGTTTGTGTGTGATCTGTGAATCTGTGTGAAGGTGAGCCAGGGGTTCTCCTGACTTGAGGGCTGTCTGAGTGATGTGTGAAGGCCTGTGTGTGTGTGTGTTTGTGTGTGTGTCAGTACATGGATCTTCCCTCTTTTCTCCCTATTCCTTCTTCCTACTGACTGCCTGTCCTCTGTGGGGGTTTCCATGAAGTGGTTAGATCTCTCCTCCTCAGCAGGTAATGTTTTGTGCAGAACAAAACAACATGTTTATACCGTGTACATGTGTAGGATCGAAGTACTGCAGTGATGAGTTCATCCTGTTTAGCTTCTTTTGGATGGCAAATGAACTCTTTAGGTTCATTACCGCCAACGTACTGGATCTGCAACAAATTGAAAATTTGGAACTGACAAAAAGGGCCATTGAACGTGCGACTATTCCATTTTTTTTTGTCTGTTATAAGAACTGAAGTGGACAAACTAAACTCCCAGCCCTTTTGGGATATATGGATGGTGCATAGGCAATCTGCTGGCTCAGCGACTTGTCCCAACAACAGGTAGAGACTGATGAAGGACATTAGACCTGCCACGGCAAAGAGGAACCAGGACGACAGGAAATGAACAGTTGACCTGAGATTAAAAATAGGGAAACATAAAACCCCTGGATGGTTACCATGGCTAAGTATTGACATACCCTCTCAAACATTATCTTGTGTATGAGAATGCAGCCCTGTTCATTACTACTACTAAGAGTGAGCTGAACTACACGACAGTAACCAGAGATGCTTAGATACAACAACAATTTCTTCCACTGAGGAAAAGGCTGGAGGCTTCAAGTTCAAGACGACACAGGGAGAAGAAAGGTGTAATGGTGCAAACAGAGCCGCTGAATATGACTCTGGTCCCTGTAGTACATATGCCAGGCCTGTATGTGGCACTGTTTCAACCATGCTCTAACAGATTGACGCCGTAAGAATGTGTAGCAAATGTTTGTAGAAAACTGGAAAAGAACCTACACAGCTTACAGGTAAACAAACAAAAAAGACGAGGATAGCTAACTGTAGCACACCAAATAGCCAAATTAGCTTCTCCAGCACGATCAGAAGGAGATGGGGCAGGGCCGACCGTATCGCCGCACTCTGCTCTGTTCACACTGAGACACAGACACCAGAGTTTTCAAGCCTCTCTAAACTGGGACCTGTAAACAGAGAGCATGCAGTTCTTCACCACTATAGCTTCAGGATCTGTAGCCAAGTAAACAAGGCCACAGCAAACTCCCAGAACAAGAACCAGCAAAGATCACAATAGCAAACGAGACTAACAGGTTTGAAGAGCTGGGCAGCGCCAGGCCCTGAAATAATCCACACCTACAGACTCAAGAACCTAACTGCCCACCATTAATGCACAAATGAACCGACTGCTGACAGATGGGTCCCCCACAGAGTAGCTTACACAAGGATGAACAGTTCCTATTAGGGAGTAGTTCCATCCACCCACCAGCCAACGACCTGGCCATGCACAACATGGAAGTTCCTGCCAGGCATCACGGTGGCTAATATGAGTCGGCACAAGGCTCAGTACTCCAGAACGGAGTTGGTAACAATACGAGTCGCATCGACAGCAGGACAAGGTACACCAACCGCTGCACAGCCTGGACTAAGGACAATGAAGCCTTCCACTTGATGCCCCTGGTGCAGGTAATATTCAATAGCAAGAGAAAAATGTGAAAAAAGGACAAATGAAATGTCATAAACTGAGGCTAGAATGGAGCATGAAAGCAGTATGAGCTGAAACCAAAGTTGTGGCGCATCAGACTCTAGCAGAGGTCACCAACCTTTCTGAAACTTAGAGCTACTTCAAGGGACTGTGTACTAAGAGGAGGTACTCGTTTGATAAACACTAAAATGTAGGTAATTACAATGTATCAACCTTTTTGTTGACTACTTTTGTTTTTTAGAACATACTCCACAGGCGCTGAAGGCTAGCTAACCTGACACGGTGCTGCACTTGAACTTTGAATCTTGGAAAAAAAAAACAACACCAAAAAAAATCCTTTAAAGTTGTGTGTGAATGTGCATGTGTATGTTTGTTTTTCTCAATAAGCAGGTGTAGAAGTCAGTGATCTCTGCGGGTACATATATACTTCCACACAGGTGTTCTGTGCATGCACACACACACACACACACACACTCACACACACACCTCACATGCTCCTGGCATGAGTACACCATCTGTCGTCACTTTTCTGTGCTTGAGATTAATGGTGCTGGGTGAGTGACTCAGCTGTGATGAATTCAGACAAAATAAAAAAAGAAGAATTCTTAGGTTCTCAGTCAGAGACAACGATGAACTCATCCAAACACTAACAAATGACTCCAGTTCAGAGGCACTAGCAGTGTGTGCGTTGCTACGGCTGACGCTGATGCAAAACAAAAAAAGGGTTGATGAGCAGTGCTCCATTTTTTGCCGATACAATATGGGTTAGAAGTTTCCCAAAAGAATCTGAAAATGCATTTGAATTGGAAGCTGGGCAACTGTCCACCTCTGAGCCCATACGACCCAGTGAAGGAGTCGTCAGGGAGCATGTACTGACATCCGACTGAGGTGACTGCTGGCTGGCTAAAAATAGCTCTGTAGAGCCGGACCATCTGACTGAGTGGCATTGTTGCTAACTCGCTACGTGTTTCTTATACAGCATCTCTAATGCTGTAATGGTGTGGCTGTATCAGTTTTACATCTCTACTATCACAACCAAAGTTTTAACATTTATTTGTCATAGGTCATACAGCAACCAAAGTCTACTTTTTTCAACAAGCGTTTTAACATTTATTTGTCATAGATCATACAGCAACCAAAGTCTACTTTTTTATCCAATCCAATAAAAGAGATCCACCACTGTTCATCAGAACATTGCTGACTCGGTGAAATATTTATTTAGTGAGAGTTAACCACACAATGTATGTGCCCTTTGGAGGCTCCTCAGGTTTACTTCGATTAATTGAATTTTGTATTTATCTCCAACTGAGTGCCATTTCTTAACTCCATTAAAAACCTCCATTGACACTCAGCTCCATGGAGAGCACAGCTGCCTTTTCCTTGATCTCTTCAACAAATTCATTTGATTTGTTATTTAATAAACTCTTTATTAATTCAAATAAAATGATGTCCATTCAACGACAGACTGTCCTCTCTAGATGTACACTGACCACAGACCGAGCAAGACTTGTCAGTAGATCAGAAATTCAATAATTCTTTTTTTTTTTAATCAGCCCTCGGCATTCACTTAGCCTCTGGGGTACACAAGGGTACACACACACACACACACACACACACAATCGGACTCACACAAACGCATGTACAGGCTGGAAGTCATTAAAGCAAGTGGTGCTATATTGAAGTATATTGAACTCATCTTTCACACACTCCCTCTCTGTCGATAGATCACTCACCAAGCGTTGTGATCGATTGCGGAAAAAAAACTTCCCTCTGCAGAGCACGCCTCTACATCGTGTGTGTGTGTAAGTATTTGTATATGTTTGTGAACAAGACACAGGGAGAAAGTCTTGCCCTCTGCAGTGGAATTAGTAGAACATTTCTTTTATTCTGTCCTCTCATGTTCTTTAGATCTCCAGTCTATCCAGAAGGATGGATACAGATCTTAAGTTATGGGAGACTCGTGCCGTCCTACCCTACTGGATCAGCAGATCAATACAACGTCATTTGTGTGTACAACTGGGAGTTTGGTTCCTTCAACAATATCTAAGGCGCAGATCTCTGCTGCAACCTAATAATACGACAAACACGAACCAGACCAAGCCACGACAGCAGAGGTAATCCAGGCCGGATTAAAAGGACTGGATTTTTATTGACAAATCAGTAGGATTTTTGCACCAGGTCTCAACATGACAAATGTCTGTCAAATAAAACATCAATGCTTGCTGTTGTGGTGAGATGCCTCTCCCCTCTTCTAGATGTAAATTTAATTGCAGATGAATTGATTATCTCCGATTTGTGATCAATTCTAATTAGGTTTGCATTTTCTGTCCAAGTCTTCCACTGACTAAGCTCTTCAGTCTTGACCTTTTTGTCCTTTACTTCTTCTGCTTGCTCAATTTTTCCATTGTTGCCTCTTTCTTTGTCTGTTTTTTTAATTGAATGCGAGCTGACATTAGCAGTTGTGCATTATTTTGTTTACCCCGTATGATTCCATAGAAATAAGAAACACGATGAATGACGCTGATTAAGCCACACACACAAGCAAGTGGTGCTATATTGAAGTATATTGAACTCATCTTTCACACACTCCCTCTCTGTCGATAGATCACTCACCAAGCGTTGTGATCGATTGCGGAAAAAAAACTTCCCTCTGCAGAGCACGCCTCTACATCGTGTGTGTGTGTAAGTATTTGTATATGTTTGTGAACAAGACACAGGGAGAAAGTCTTGCCCTCTGCAGTGGAATTAGTAGAACATTTCTTTTATTCTGTCCTCTCATGTTCTTTAGATCTCCAGTCTATCCAGAAGGATGGATACAGATCTTAAGTTATGGGAGACTCGTGCCGTCCTACCCTACTGGATCAGCAGATCAATACAACGTCATTTGTGTGTACAACTGGGAGTTTGGTTCCTTCAACAATATCTAAGGCGCAGATCTCTGCTGCAACCTAATAATACGACAAACACGAACCAGACCAAGCCACGACAGCAGAGGTAATCCAGGCCGGATTAAAAGGACTGGATTTTTATTGACAAATCAGTAGGATTTTTGCACCAGGTCTCAACATGACAAATGTCTGTCAAATAAAACATCAATGCTTGCTGTTGTGGTGAGATGCCTCTCCCCTCTTCTAGATGTAAATTTAATTGCAGATGAATTGATTATCTCCGATTTGTGATCAATTCTAATTAGGTTTGCATTTTCTGTCCAAGTCTTCCACTGACTAAGCTCTTCAGTCTTGACCTTTTTGTCCTTTACTTCTTCTGCTTGCTCAATTTTTCCATTGTTGCCTCTTTCTTTGTCTGTTTTTTTAATTGAATGCGAGCTGACATTAGCAGTTGTGCATTATTTTGTTTACCCCGTATGATTCCATAGAAATAAGAAACACGATGAATGACGCTGATTAAGCCACACACACACACACACACACACACAGACAGACCTCACACAAATGTGAGAAACCTTTGTCTCTACAGATGTTAGAGGTGATCGTTATGATGTCATCCTGTGTTGTTGTTGTTACCAGCCCCAGCCACTGTCCTCACAGTCCCATTTAAAAAAACATACAAAAGGTATTTAATCATGCCCTGACAGCGTTCTGTCACCTGTGTTTCACAGAGAGAAAGCAATGAAAGAAAAGGACGGGGGAGAGAGATGGAGAGAGGTGTTTGACTGTGATGACAGTATCCATACCTGAGGAGCTACGGAGGCTGGAGGTGACAGACACAGTCTGAAAGAGCCACATTGTTTGTGTCTGTGCACAGAACAAAGTAAAACTATGTACGTACTGCACACGTTGAAATCATGAATGAACACAGGGTTACCAGGGCAACAGATAGCAGACTAAAGACACACACACACACGCACACACACACACCCCATCTGAAGATCAGGATGTGAGTGATCATCACATATCAAAGCCAGGGAGTTTCCTTTTCTTGCTGTTTCAGCACTTTTTCATTTCCCATTCCCATTTTCTACTGTGTTCTGAAATTCTTACCCTGTTCTTTGTTAATTCAAATGTTCCAGGTGCAGTAAGACTTGACACTAATAACGCTTTAAATTTTTTTTTCTTGTACTCATGTAGATACAGAGAGGAAACTAGTCCACTGGAGGGGTTATGTAACAAAAGAGACCAGCACACATCTGGATGTCTTTTCAGGGTAGAGTCGCTTTGAATTGTCCTGTTGCATCCTGACTGTGGCACCATCCAACCCGCGGAGACACCTGCACCAGTTTAATGAAGCAAATACAGAGAAAATGTGTTTTGGTATTGTTTCTAGACAGGAGGAAAAACAGAAGGAGGGAAGACAGAAGGAGGAAAGACAGAAGGAGGAAAGACAGAAGGAAGAAAGACAGAAGAAGGAAAGGTTAGATTTCTAAACAAAACAAATCTGTCTTACTGTTCAAACTGCTACTGTGTTTAAATTATATTTTATGCTCATTTAGTACCTAAATAAATATTTCATACTTATTTTCCAATAAGGCCCTTAAAGTCTTTGTCCGTCTCTCTTTTTCCCCGTCTCCCCGGTGCATATCACATGTCCGCACTCCACTGAAAAACCTTTAGGAGTGAAAGACACCAGTGTTCTCTCATTAGGCGCCTCATTCACTAAATCCATCACTTGTCATGTCAAAATGCAAAGCTGTAAAAGACACCAAAATGATCCAAGCCAACCACATAACAGATCTTCAGAGCAAACATCCTCCGTAGAGCAGAGTAAACCCAAATAAGCCCTGAGCTAACACTGTCACCCTGCTTGCTGAGACGAAGGCAAGACTCACTGAACTCCTTTTTTTAAAACTCTCTCTATATTTACATAACTTGGTGTGTTTGGGTTCTGTTCATAATAATCACTTTTGTCCATCATAACTTCTTCAGCTCATCTTAGCACAAGAATCTGACTAAAAAAGTAATTCTAGCTACATGTTTAAGGAGAAGTTCATTGTGGGAGATAACTTGTTTATCAGTGCTAGTAATCTATAAGTCTGTGAAGATTCTCATTCAACCAGGTCATGTTATCCAAAGAGTTTCGTTGTAGGCAACTGGACTTCTTCTTGGAGCTTGAGAGACGTTTCGTTCCTCAACTGAGGAACTTCGTCAGTTTCTGGTTGATGTAAGAGGGGACACTAGTAGTTATACTTCTCTAGACCACTCCCTTCTCCACTGGACAAGGAGTCACATGTCAAGGTGTGAAGAGTTGTTATGGTCAGACCTCCCTAGAGACGGGTGACAGGTGACTGCATCTGATGGTGATGGGCAGTTTGAGGAACCACAGATCTTTCAGTTGCTTACAACTAAACTCTATGGATATGAATAATGAATTAATTTGTGAAGATAGTTAAACTAATAACACATTTAAGATTGCATTACATTGTTTATCCCATAATTCCACCTTCCATAAAGAATTATCTAATTAAACTTAATTGGTCTGAAAACTAAACTCACCAATGAGACAAATGCAAATGAGCATGCAGAACATTTATCCACTCTCCCACTAGGTGGCAAAACACAGCTTTAAAAAAAACTATGTGTTTCTTTATTCAATTCCTGCAACTAAATCAGTTTTGTTTAACTAAACAGGCCCAGATTTCAGAGTAGGTAAATATCTGATTCAAACTTTGATTCAGTCCTAATTTTTAGCATTATATTTCCCCTCTGTGGGATGAGTAAAATACTTCTATTCTATCTTAATGTAGGGTTTTATATCTAATCTAATAAATTATCTTTACCATATAATTCCTCAGAGACAACACCCCAGCTTTAACTGATGAGTTTGTTACGTTGCCTTTTACACACTGCAGTTGTTGTCTGGTTCTCATCTGAAGTGAGGCCAACTCCAGGCTTGTCCTGCCCAGCTGCAGTGAACTGAGTCTGGACATGTAACGGCAAGCAATTTCCCCAGCTTTAATCGTTGACAAAACACACACGCACACATAGACAAACACACACACGTGCATGCATGCACTCACACTAACACAGGAACAGGTGAAGAAGAGTGTGTGGTGTGTGTCCATGCTTTTACAAGAGAGTAAGTATGTTACAACACTGATGCTTGAAGTCAGGTGGACTGGCCCATCTGATCTAAGTCTCCTTTGATGGTGACTACACACACACACACACAGCAGCAGTTATACTGTATCTTTCACACAAACTCTAACCTGAAACCTTTACCTACAGTAAAATAATCACCAACCTAATTGGTTGATTTCTGTTGGTTTTTTTTTGCATTAACACATATTATTGAAATTGCTGTTGTTGAAAAAACAAAATTATGTAGGTAGGAATGGTAAATTCTCTTAATATTATCCAGAGGCCACAATCAGAGGTTCCATGAGGGCGATCTGGGAGTCCCTAGGGGCGCCCCAAGGTATTGCAGAGGAGGGACATTTCACATATTAAGTAATATTACATATATTATGATATACTATATATAATGTTTAATATATTACAATACACAATATATATAATGTATAGTACATATACTATATTATTATATATTATATATTATAATATATGGGGGTCTCTGCACTACAGAATATTGAAGACCACTGGTCTAAATGTTTTAGTTTTACAGCTGAATAACTACTGTATGATTGACACCTAAACAATTTCTGCCTTCTCTTATCCTGTGCTGAATAACTGCTGTATGATTGACACCGAAACAATTTCTGCCTTCTCTTATCCTGTAGAGCTGCATGGGAAAAAAGTAAGTGGGTCGACTGTGAAGCCTCCCATCAATTAGAAGCTTCATTTTTAACCCTTTCTTTCTGACCATATTCCTTTTATCCCCGTGCTATCGGACCCTCCTCGTGTTACCGGGCCTGTCTGTGGCTCAGTGGAGCCCCTGCACCACAGAGCCCCAGCCTTTGTCCAGATCTAGGCAGCAGGTGAATAGGATGCCCATGTGAAGGGCCTCTCAGTCTAAATACACCTGATACCTGGATCATACCCCCACGGCAACATTAACTCACTCCCCCAAAGACCTCCCATCCCCTAAAACTCCCTCTGGACCCCCCTCAGAGCCCCCGACCCAGACAGAGACATTCAACAGGAATGAAGAATGATATTGTTGACAGTATTGGCAGCTTTGCTCCAGCCGCCATCACCTACTCGTGTGTATATTATGTGTACAAAGTCAGACTTTTCTGTGGAGTCTATGAGGGCCCTGCTCTGTTGTCTGAGCCTCATATCTGTGTGAACTCTGTGTTCACCTTTGAAGTGGCATGCTATGCCTCCCTGCACCCCTCCCTGTCTCTCCTCCGCAGCTTTGATTTCCTTTCTTGTTGTGGAGAGTTGGCTGATCCACAGATAATACCACTCAGTCTCTTCAAGGCCGCACAATGGCCAGAGCCACTCAGGTGCAGAGCAAATACAGGTACCTAATCTTGTTTGATCTGTGCCATGTTTATCTTGTTCATTTAGATGAATGTACTGTTCAATTGTGCATTGTGGAAATATTCAATATTCAATTTGTAAGAAAAGGGTTTCAGATAAATGGGTTGCGAGTACAAAACAAAACAAACTGTTGTTTGCGGTACTTCGTTGGTCGACTGCTGCCCCTGACGACGTGTATTACTTTTTACTGCATGTCACCAATGTGCTGGAATGACACCTGCTTTGAAGGGGACGTGGATTAAACCAAGACACATATTTGCATGCTGATCATTGCCTCTGGCCTGGTTTAGGATCAATACAGTGAGAGCCTTTAATTGCTTTTTACTGCCTTCACAAACGGTCTAACCTCCACCAGGGTGTTACTCTCTTCGACGTGTTAATTCTCTGGGATTATTGCTTTTTTTTTGTTTAGTCCGGCTCTGAAGCTTTAAAAAAAAGGTTTGAGTAGATTTTATTTTGTTTGTCTGAACACTTTTTGACCATAGTGTGAATCTTTTTGCATAAAATATTTTCATTATAGTCTACTATGCATACAGTCAACTCCACATATGGGGAAAAGACAAAGAAACCCCTGCCAAAAAAGTTCAAAGTTAATATATAATAAGGTTTACTCATCAAGTTTTATAAATAAAAGACCTTAAAAATGCTGGTACGTCTGTTTGACAATGAATTTTAGAATAAATTCTGCTACGTATAATCTTGATCTAGTTATACTTGTGGGGACAGTATTTGAAAAGTGTTATTTTTTAAGACACTTTGTGATGATGAGTGAGATGATATTTTAAGATAAAGTTTTGGTTTACAGTTAGCATTAGCACTACAGGGTGCACTAAGAGTCAGTGTAAGGAATATACATTAGGAATAATAAAGGTTAGGGTACGAGGCCATGTAATGCATGAGGTCGACATGTAGTGCCCACAAAACACAAAGACCTGTGTGTGTGTAAGTGTAAGTGTATGTGTGTGTGCTCGTGTTTGGACGCAGTAAATGATAAATGGCTTATTTCGATCTCAGAGTCCTCAGCTCATTTATAGAAGCCAACAACAGGAGCTTTGTCAGCAGAAACAAATGATCTATCAACACACACCGTTTTCCAGCCTGATCAGAGGTGAGTATGATGGATTGGACTTGTGGTTTGTCTTGCCTGGATTATTGATAGGCCAGTTTTGGAGTGACAGCATGAAATATTAATCAAGTGGAACTAAATGTTCATCTGGAAAAGAACAAGGAGGAAAACAGGTTGGAAATGCAAAAAAAAAAAATAGTAGCTAGAAATATACTACAGTACAAGAAGTGGTGACTTTTTGAAAAAAAAATGTCTGATATCAATATCGTTTTCCTTTCTCAATGGAAATTCCCTCCATCCTTGATACATTTCACAAACACAAACGCACACACTGGAGTCTCCCCCTTCCTCTCCTCCTGTCCCCCTCGCCAACATCCTTTTGTGGTTTTATCTCTCCTGCACTTTGATATTTGAGAACCACTGACAAACGTGGTCAGACAAAGCACAGCTTTGTCTTCGCCACGCTCCATTAATATTTGTCATTATTGTCGAAATCAATGTTTTGCGTGCATACTTGACTGGGTTCACCTCATTCGCGAAGCAACACGGCCCCACACGCATTACTGAAACGGAGCCAAAATGGGTCTGGTTTGTTGCACTGTGTGTGTGGGTGTGAGTGCGGCTGTCATAAGTGCATGTCTCTGTATGTCTGTATTGATGCGGTTCTGCAGCACAATCTATACTAGTGATTTCCCATAGCCGCCTGGAGTGGCTCTTAGACACAGAAGAGGTAGAGAAGTCAGAGTAAAAGAATGATGAGTAAGGAGACGTGAAGGAGGCAGTTGAGTGATGAACGGAAGAATGACCAGTTCAGAAAAAGTGTTGAAGCAGCACAAAAAACAAAGTTACCGTAATCTCTGGACTATTGAGCGCACCTGAATATAAGCTGCACCCACTAAATTTAAAAAGTGTCCACGTTGTAACATGGGATAGAAAGTAGATAGAAAGTACCAACAGGATTAGACTATATATTTATGCAAATCGTGTTTAAATAACACATACCAGCACCGCTGTGTTTAATTCATCCGTTAATATCCACAGGTTTATCTGCTGATTCTCACAGGTGCCGATATCAGCAGATATTAGACATGAAGGGATTATATATTTCATTTATTCAAAGTGATTCCTTTTCCATCGATGTGTGTCATTAGACTGCACAGCGGAATTTCCTCTAATCATTAGACATTGTTCAGCCTCAAACAAATCATGTGTTTGAACAGAAACCCTCCACACCCTTCAGTGTCCAGATATGGAGGCATAGGAACTACTGTACTAGGTCAAAAGGTCAGCGTGATGAATATAAAGAGGAGAGGACAGGACAGGGACACGGACACACACACACACACAAACATACACACACAGTTCAACACGTGTCAATGGGTATTTAAAAGGCAAGTGTGTTTATCTGCAGCATCTTTATAAAAGCTCACTGTCATCCTCTGGTGGACAGTGTGACCTCAGTGTAACGACAGGGCAGCGGGAGAGCACATAAAGTCATCAACTTCGGTTTATTCTCACGCCCAACGGAGGGAAACACGCTGAGAGGAGCTGCCAGACCATTGTGAAGAAAGTACAATAACATCCTCTTCCATTATTTTTATTGAACTGTTTGACAAAGCACTATTCTAATAAATCCCATGAATGATCTCCTCCTCAGTCACACACACACACACACACACCGAACCACACAGGTCAACTCTGTGTGAAATCATAGGATTGCGTTTCTATTTTGTACAGAATTTCCTCAATATACAGTAGTGCACACGTCTGTTAAGCTCTGCTGCCATCTACTGTCTAAAACAGCGTCTGTTACACTGCACACAGACATCGTCTTTTAACATTGTCGTCTTTTAACATTTAAGAATTGGCAAATTATTTTCTACACTGTATGATTGTACAATTTTTTATTAATTATTTCGAAATCATAGTCAAAATCAACCCCCGTGCCTACCACTAGGCGGAGTCCAGTGCCATAGTTGAGTGAGTTGTATCATTAACAGCTGATCACGATCACCTGAGATGTTTCCGCTGCATAAAACATTCTCCTCCACCTCCTCAGTCATCACTTCACCACAGGCAGCAACATTCCCTCCATCATGCCCACCAAGAACGTGACAGAGGAGCGTCTCTCCAAGTTCAAAAACAAGGGCAAAGACCCGGCTGTAAGTGGCTCTTTTGTTTTTCAGTTTTGCTGTTTAATCGTTTTTACAAAACTACTTGTTCTTCACTCTGCAGAAACTTCGAGAGAAGAGAATCACTGATTGCGTCGAGCTGCGAAAAGCGCAAAAACTCAACAATTTAATCAAGAGACGAAACGTCACGTTGTCGTCTCTTCCAGACGAGGACGCTCTCTCTCCGGAATTCACCTCCAAACACGGGGTTAGTTCGTAAAAGGGCGAGCATTTTTAACTTAAGTTGAATGAATGCAGCTTCTTACCCGTGCTTGTACTGCAGGACACGCTCTTCTCCATTGAAGACATCGTTAAAAACGTGACCTCCGACTCCAAGGAGTCCCAGACCCGGGGTTGCCAGGCAGCCAGGTGAGCCGGAAGTAAATCCTTCTTTTAGCACGTGCTCCAGATTTGCTCCGGTCACAGGTGGTGGATCTCGGTTAAAGTTGATGTAGTAATGAAGTAATGTGCCAATGAAGTAATGTGCAAATGTCTTTTTTTTTTTTTTTTCAGCAATGAAGTAATGTGCCAAAAGTATTTTTTTTTTCTAGATTTATGATATAATGAAAATTATTTAAATAAATTGTACCTGTTGATGTTGATGTTACAGGTGCAGTAAATAATTATTTACTGCACCTGTAACATTATTAGGTTTATCTCTACTCCTGTAGAAATAGATCAAATAAGATGCCTCAAATTCACAGTCACACTTGTTTTGCAACAGAACTAGAAAATGTCTCTCAAATGGGCCCAAGACTCTTAAAGGTGCATCACTTCTCTTTTCCACATCTGTCCACAGGAAGCTGCTGTCTCAAGAGCGTAACCCTCCACTGAAGGAAATCATCGATGCCGGTCTGCTCTCCCACTTTGTTACATTTCTGTCGATGGACGATGAGCCGACGCTGCAGTTTGAAGCAGCTTGGGCCTTGACCAACATTGCCTCAGGAACATCTTGGCATACACAGCAGGTGATGGGCTCAGCTGTCTGAAGTCAAGTGTTGAGTTTTATGTTTGTAAATGTTTTAAACCTCTTCCATCAGGTGGTGGAACACGGCGCTGTACCAGCTTTTATTGACCTGCTGGCCTCACCGCTGTTGCACATCAGTGAGCAGGCTGTCTGGGCTCTGGGAAACATAGCAGGTAACGACAGTATGAGTGGTGCAGAGGGCCTGTCCAGTGGTGAGGCTTTTTGTTAATTTTACGGCATGTTACTGACAGGTGATGGTGCAGCATATCGGGACATCCTGATTGAGTGCAGCGTCATTCCAGCCCTGCTGGCCCGTATTTCCCCAGATACTCCAGTAGGTCAAATTTGAAAGATTAAGCCCAGCACTGTTTGTTTCAATAAAGAAAGTAACAATCCCAATATTGGTTAAGAAACTCTTGACTTGTCGTCCTAGGTCGGCTACCTCCGTAACCTGACGTGGACGTTGTCCAACTTGTGCCGTAATAAGAATCCATTTCCACCCTTGTCTGCAGTGATGCAGGTGAGTACTGACAGCCTAATTCTGTCAAATCCTGACAGGACCAGTGACATGACTGTTGTTGTTTTTTTTTTGTTTTTTGTTTTGTTTTTTTAAGCTGCTTCAAACAAATCACCAGTTGCTACACCTCAGTGACAAGGACATTCTCTCTGATGCCTGCTGGGCCATCTCCTACCTCTCTGATGGTGACAATGACCGTATCGACGTGGTGGTAAAAACTGGCATTGTTCCGAAGCTGGTGGAGCTCATGAGCCACGAGCAGCTGGGTGTAGTGGTAATGTGACTCATTCAGACATGGTACAGATTGTGGTAATGACCAACAAAGAGCTTTAAGTTGTCGTTTGTTCCTTCCTTTGTCTGAACTCTCAGACCCCGGCGCTTCGATCTATTGGAAACATAGTAAGCGGCTCAGACACACAGACCCAGATGGTGATTGATGCTGGTGTTCTGAATGCCTTGCCTGAACTAATGAGACATCCAAAGGCCAGTGTACAGAAGGAAGCAGCGTGGGCACTGTCTAATATCGCTGCCGGACCGTGCAAGCAAATCCAACAGCTGATCACCTGTGGCCTGATACCACCATTAGTAGAGCAGCTGAGAAACGTGAGCAGCATGACATGACTCTAGAGCTTCATCTGTAAAGTGTCATATTTATAGCATGTAGCTGCAGGATACATGTCAATTTGCAGAAAAAATCTACAGCACTGCAACGCAGCACACAATTTCATCTGAAATCGGACCCAGTTGACCAGAAATTGGTTATTTCCAGGGTGATTTCAAGACCCAAAGGGAAGCAGTATGGGCAGTGACAAACTTCACCAGTGGAGGCACTGTGGAGCAGGTGGTCTACCTTGTGCAGAGTGGAGCTCTGGAGGCAATAATCAACTTACTGCAAGTCAAGGATCCTAAAGTGATTCTAGTCATTCTGGATGCCATCAATAACATGTTCATGGTGAGGGACATATTTGATATTTGGGTTTTTTGTTTTGGTGATTTCTACTGATATTTATTTTTTAGGCAGCAGAGAAACTTGGTGAGACTTCTAAACTCAGCCTGCTGATAGAGGAGCTGGGTGGTCTGGATCGAATCGAGATGCTGCAGAGACACGACAACAACATGATATACCAGGCTTCCCACAGCCTGATTGAAAAGTACTTTGGTGATGTAAGTTGGTACAGTGATACTATTGATAGTTCAATATTTGGTACATTGAAGCACAAAGTGTCCTACATTTGATCAATACAGACATTTTTTCCAATTTTAAATGTAAACATTTTAAACTACTCTTGGAACTTGAACTTCATCTTTTTGTTTTAGGATGAAAGTGATGTGGTCAAGGTGGACACTACTGACGAGGCATTCGTATTTCAGTGCACTGAGAAAACGTTTGAATTTTAAACTATTCACTTGTCTTTTATTCATGTTGAATGGTAAAATAAATATCTTGCAATACAATCCTGGCTGAGTTGTCAACTGAGTTGGTGTTGTAACTGTGAAAGGGTTAAACACTGCAGGTCTAGAACTTGGGCTTTTTACTTTGACTCATGTTAATGCTGGACTAGGATTACAACTTTAACAATAGTTTACCTTTCAATTTGAGCAAACTCCTGATCAGTTGAGGAATGGTGTATTTTCTCTTCAGCACTGAACAATAAAACCTGGTTCACAACCTGGGGGAAAACAGAGTAAAAAAAAACAAACAAATCACCATTGATGACATGAACCATTATCCAAAAAGTGTCTATTTATAACAGTTCTCACAAATCTGATCCAACAGTGATATTACAGCAGACTGTACTACAACTTTTATATTATTAAGCTAAAGATCACACAAGGTTTGGACAAAAAAATCCTGAGAAGTTACATATTTCCAGCCATTAAGTAAATGTAGTCTGCTTCAGGATTTCTAAAAAAGACACTGAAAGCTACTTGGACTGCACATAAAAATTAACATTTTATTTTTGACAATTTTGTTTCAGTAAAAAAAAAAAAAAAAAAACATTTTCCACACGAGTTTCCACAAGAGAAAAGTCTTCATATGTTCCTGTTTCCTGAGGTTCCACTAGGTTACATCTTCTCGTAGCTGAGTTCATGTCCGCAGCTCATGCAGGTTTTCTTGTAGAGATCTTCCTCTGGGTCGACCACCTCCTCTGGTCCATACTGATGCACGTGAGTGCTGGTATTTGTGGTCCACATGCTGCTCCTGACTGCTTTGCGCAACTCTAAATCAAAAAGACGAAGGGGCCCACACATGCTTATTAAACTGAGTTAGCACTGGAGAGTTTGGGTTTTCTTTTTCATAGAGCAAAAACTGACCTTTGACCTTCTTGTTGAAACGTTTTTGTTTCTGCACCTCTTTGTTTTCTTCTCTAGTTTCTTTGGCCTCCTCCAGAGCCTCCTCTGAACCCCACACCTCCAGGCCTCTTTTCTCCACCTGGTGAGATCATGCAGGTTGTGTTTTCTATTCAGGTAAAGAATAAGAAGCCAAACAAAAACTGATAAGTCACACAGGTATAGTGACTGCTGACCTAGCTATATCATATATTACTAATTAATAACCACTTATCACCTGCTAACAGTCAAAGGACAGGGTGTAATGTACCACACACATGTCCAGCTATAAATGAATAGACATTTTACATTCATAAAAATAAAAAGAGTAGACCACCTGTACTTTCAGGTACAGCTTCATATCTCCCCAGCGTTGGTTGTGTGGGTTTTTCCTCAGTATAAACCTGAGTGGAGGCTCTCGTTTGTCCAGGTCACAGTCCTTCAGCAGGTACTGCTGCTTGGCTTCAGTCCTGGAGATCAGCTTGTGCTTCTCATCGTTGTCCCTGAAGAAAAAAAAAACAAACAAAAACAAAAAACGCTGAATTTGAGGTTTACCTTAGTGCAAGATTGGCAAGGTGGCATAATCTGACTGAACTGAACCCAAACCAAAGACAAAGTGGACTTCATAGAAAATAACCTTTCCTCCTTACAGTGTTATATTTTACTGTAAATACTACAATCACATAAATGACACTTGAGGTCTGTTTATAATTCATCTGTTTTAGTGACTACACAGAAACAAAAGTGGAACACTTTTGCATCTATTCTTCCCTTAGTGTTTTTCTAAAGTGTAAATAAAAACGTATACTCAAACGTTAAAGAATGTTCGCATATTTACCAATGGACAGAACGGAAAATGGAAAACAAAGAGTGTGCTCAGTGAGAGTGAGCTTTTGTACCTGCACTTGTCACAGACCGACAGGGCAAAGCTGTTGCTCAGGTAAGAGTCCATGAAAGGTTTCCCACACTCATCACAGACCAGATAGTCCGACTGAATCACTGGAGCTAAAACACAACACACACACAAACAAGCAATATTTGTGTTCCGTAAAGACTTTGTGTGGACAAACTACAGGCACGTGTATTTGCTTAGGACATACCAATAATTTTCCAATTCTTATCCTTACATTAACCCTAATCATAAATACAAACTATCTATTAGCAGTTACGTAAGTCCTAACCCGGATTTTAACCTAAATGTGATTCACGTCTGCATTACTACTCTAAGACTAGACTAAAAACCGAGTTCCTGCACCATTGGGTTACGGTCTCCATAACGACTACAGGATGTGAAGAACAGCAGATGACAAATATACACACACCTGGATCGTGCACCACTTTTTTGACATTGTGTTCCCTTTCTTTCTGCTCCTCGTCCTCGTCGATAAAGAAGCCGGCTCCAGAGTCGACGGTCTTTGACACTTTAGCCGAGGTGGAGCCCTCCACAGCGGACAAAGGGCGGCTTGCTATTCGCGCTTGCCGAAGAATTAAAGCCCGCTGCCGGTTCCTCTCGATCTTAGCCCGCATAGCAGCAGAGAGCTCGGTTTTTGGACACTCCTTCGGTTCTGGAGCTGCAGAGTCTTCTGCCTTTGTGTCCATGTTGCGCTCTTACAGCATAAGTAGGAATGAATAGAGTCGAGTACAATTATATTTCAGGAACCGATACGTTGTCGTTACAAAAGTTATTGTGGCATGGTTCCGGTTTTCTTCTTTCTTTAAATAAAACCTACTTCATTTAAGATACTGTCGCCATCTAGCGGATATTGAAAGTAAAGCAGCCGTACACTCTGCTTGGTTCTCTGTTCGTTAGTTAAAGTTGCTGTCTAAAAGTATTACTGTCTGTTTATACGTAAATATAAAAAATCCATAGGCTCACGTTAATTTAACCTCTTCACTTCACTTGTCACAGGAAGTATATTGTGTATTCTAGGCGTTTAAATATTTATAAATCATCAGGAACGAGCAGAACTAAAGCGGGTTTTATTTTGAAAAGCAGATAAACACCTGACTAGTTCCGTCAAAACAAACAACGTCACTTACCGAGTCTGGCTGTGCACAGCAGTTAGCTTCTAAGGTTAAACCACAACTGCATATACAGCAAGAACCCGACCAAAAAACAAGGATAAATACAAACAAATTGTCATTTAATGAAATGAATGGTTGCTAATTCAAACATTTCTCACATTAATTAGCCCGACTGAGTTTCAAAATCCCTTACGACTTATGTCCTTACATTTGTAAAATACATATTTAAATTGTAGGCCATCTTATAAACTGCCAAGCGCAATTCCAAAAAGTTGTTTGTCAAATTCCCTAATATATAAGTCGGATCCACTGTACCTCTGTTTCTGTGGAAAAAACTCAGGCTCAGGATTTTTTTTAGGTCACACAATGTTTCACCATTACTTTGTCAGTGTAAATGTGGTGAGATTAAAGTGATCATTTTAAACTGGCACATACAGAGACAAAAGGCAATACTGTAGACATTTACTGACACACAAGGCCATTAAGACCAGTGCTAGTTATATAGCAAAATTTGTACTTCAAATATGCACTAATAGATTGCCTCATGATGAGCTGCCATGTTGCAGTTAGATGGGCGGTAAACTGAGATTCAGGCAGATCCTTCGTAGGCTGACCTGAGGTGTCCAGTGAATCCATCTTACGTCACAGTGATGAGGGGAGGGGGAAGCAGCAAACATGCTTGTCTAAGAGGATTGAAAAGCAGATCACCTCTTGATAGATGACACTGATGTGATTGCTGCTCTTCAAAAGGTGATGGTCAAGTGTATTGACACACATATGTATACACATTGTATCACACATTGTGACTTAAACAATTTGTCATGATTGAACCCTAACATGTACAATTTAACGCAGACATTTGAACATACTCTTGTATGTACTTGCATTTTTATGTATACATTCATTTTTATTTCAGAATTTCTGGCCAATTTTTCAATATTAAGCATGAATTTAATAAATTTTTACTAACATTAGAAAATGGCATTTACCAACATGTCAGTTGCTGTTCCATTGTCCTGGAGCCCACAACGGACTCCCTGACCATTTCCAACTCAACCCATAAATGTCAACACAGCAGATTGTGACTGAAAATACAGGCAGAAACAACCAGATTTAAATCAATTCACAAGGGTGAGCATTTGTTTTTATTTATTTATTTAATAACTTTCTGAATTTGTCACTGTTTAAAGAGGGACTAGACCCGAGGAAAGTCTTTTTGGGGAAAAGCATTTATTTTGTCTCCGTATGCAGAAACCCCATCTGTTTAAACAAGTTTAATACAACATAAACAGATTAAATAGACATTTACTGTAGAAGATACTGAAGCTGTACTTTAAACACTGAAATGATAAAATAAAAATAATAAATTAAGTTTTCTTCCACTGCGAAGTCTAAGCTGTTTAGCTATAATTAATACACGCGGTCAAAACACCGAAAATCCAAGTTACTTACATTTTTACCTGAACCGTTCATCCGGACCTGGTCGAGCCGCCAATATAACTTGTAACATTTGGCATTTAAAAGCGCGCAGCAAACCTTTTTTTAGTGTCAACGTCACACGCAACGAGCGTGCGTTTTCCTACGTAAAGTCTGTCAAAACAGTTTTGCCTGCCTTCCGCTATATATTTATATATTTATATACAATTCCTTCCGGCCGGCGTTATGTTAGAGCGTGGTTGGCACAGCGCCATATACAGGCCTGGCATATGTAGTATAACGAGTCGGTACACCTGTGTAGCCCTAATGACGTCATTAACAAAGTAACAAATCCACGAAACGTAATGCAATAGTGATATTATTAAAAAAAAAAACGTTTTAAACTCCCAGCGCCTGCACTACTCATTTCGAAGACTTTGGGGTAGATTTCTTTCACCCGGGCAATGCATGAGAATAAAATATGATTGTACTAAAAAAACAAAAACAATTTTTATAAAATGTATTCAGAGTTTAGTTCAGTTTAAAATGACAATGGTGAGAATTTCTGTTTTTATTATTTTGTAACACAGTGTAGTGACTTTTTACAATATAATACATGAGACACATTGTACATGTATGAGTCCATGATTCCATTCCATAAACAGTGTAACTTTTTTTTTGCATTACGTCATGGTTTTAATTCATGTTTAGTAAAGCAGATCTTAAAAGTCTTCACTCAAACGCTTGTCTTGAACTGAAAGAAAATATTTTGTGATGTTTCTGCAGAGCTGATTTAAATAGGAAAGTCAACTCTGGAATAATTAAGCATGTTCAGGTTTGTGAACCATATGTTGAGTACAATACCAATATAAATACAAGAGCATTTGCACAAGTCCTTCAATTCATTTGCAGATTGTTTATACACATACACAATGTACATTTTAAATAACGTGGGAGGGAAAAGTCTGGGTCTGTTTAATGCACAAACATACACAAACATATTTGGACAAAATACAGTATGTTGCAATTTCTGAAAACATAAAAATATAAAATGCAAAACACACTAGTTTGGTGACATAATATCACGGAAAATGATTTGGTGGGGCAGTGATCAAACATGATGCAGCTACCTACAATAATAATAATAGTACAATCAATGTGGTTTGCCTTTTGTATGCAATTGTTTTTGCTTTCACAGAAAAATAAAATCTTTGTCAGTGTTTTAATAAATTATCAGTTCACACTTATCACTGCTCAATGTCGTGTCTGAAACAGTTGACTGTGACTAATAATCTTTGATACTGACAAAAAACAGTGATAAATGTTTAAAAAGAATTAAATTCAGAGCTGTGATGTTAAGGATAACTTTCCCAAAATGTGTGTCCTAATTGTAACTTTAAAGTTTTTTTTTTTTGCCTTTATGTTTTTGCAGATTTATGTTTTCTCTTTTGAAAATGTGTGTGAAAATATCACACTGATATTTATTATTTTCCTTGTAATCTAGAAACTAAAAATGATCATATATATACAAACAGTATATATATATATAATAGGTTATGTTTTCATGTTTTGTCTGTCTGGGTAGTTCTACTAAACATATTTTTAAGTCAATGAATTGTTTCTTCCAATTGTGTGCTCAAATGTAATTTTAAAATTTAAAACAACATCATCAGCGACTGTGAATGAGCCTCTTTTGGTGACACACATCTAGGTCTATCAAGCTTTGACAAAACGCTGTGTTCACCTAATTTGATACCCAACATCTGTCACGGGGCTGAAGAAAAGTCTGCTCCATCCTCCGTTTCTTAATCTGCCACACATCCTTTTGATACAAAAAAGAAGAATAGCTACCAAAATATTTCTCTTAAATTACTTACACACTCTTTTTTCCGTGTCTTTTTAAATGACCCTGTGGGCCAAGTCCATTCATGAAAAAAGAGATTTTCTGCAACTTACCCACCAGTCTGTACCTCCAGGTACCAGGTACCTACGAATGTTGTGTTAGTCGAGATACAGTTGCGTCTCAGGTGGTGGTTGTATATATTTATATATATGTGTGAATGTGTGATCCAAACAGAGTGCAGTCGGTGTCAGATCACTAAAGCTCCTTGTGGCGCTCTCTCACTCTATCAGACAGTGACAGGGCAAGTGATTATTTTGTCCTCCAGCATAACACTTACGACAAGAAACACAAAGTAGAGCAGGAACATGAAGAAGCCCAAGAACTTGCTCATTTTCCACTTGCAAGCTGCGATGGACATAATGACGAAGAGCAGCATTAGGAAGAGGAGAACGATGGCACAGAACAGGCCGTTGCTGCTCACCTCCACTGGCTTGAAGTCGTTGATGATGTTGTAGAGCAGCCAGGGGAATGGCAGACTGGGCAGAGGTAAAAGCACGAGCAGAGAGAGTGTATTTAATGTAAAACAGGCCCTCGTTCAAAAAGAATATTCACATATTATTCTACACACATATAACACGTTTCACTGTAGTGATCGTTGGACTCACCCTACAGTGATATCAAAGATGTTGGAGCCCACAGAGCTGGACACTGCCATGTCACCAAGACCCTTTCGTGCCACAATTACACTGGTGATGAGGTCAGGGATTGAGGTGCCAGCAGCCAAAATGGTGAGGCCCATGATCTCCTCTGTGATCCAGAAGGTTTCCCCAACCTGACCCGGAGAAAAAAAAAACACCTCAGGCTGGAGTGCTACAGTTTACAGTTTAATTAGGAAAGCCTTCTTCTTCAACAGAGAAGGTGTTTTCATTATCAATTAAAGATTATTTTTTTCATTCCCATCTATTTTTACCACCTTCCACAGACTTTTCACAGTCCTCATCTTTCCAGTCATCTAATCCCTTAGAGTCTTTCAGTCTTTCTGCTGCCAAATCTTGTAAGTCAACTGCTTAAGTGCTGTATGTCACAGAAAGTTCCACGTCTGCAGCCGCATTATATCTCTGTGTCTGCTCAGAGGAGTCTCCGCACATGCTGCTGCAGATTCTTCAGAGGTTGCTCCTACATATTTTTTCATAACATCTACAGCAAATCAGCTGAATCCGCTGCAAACCTTTCCAGAGAGGGCACTCTACATTGTCCTTTTCAGGGACTGGCACATTTTCTAGGCTCAAGCCTCCAATGGGGACAGACCCAAATTTCCAAGTTCAAGTTTTTCAAGTCCTAGTTATTCAAGTATTCATCAGGCCTGTTAATCAGATTAGTCAAGTCCAGGCCTCCCTCATCTCTGTCAGGTCCAAGTCATTTTTATCGACAGTTGTTCCTGGTCTTTTTTCCCAGCCAGTACCTCATCCTTTTTGTCAGTCAATTTCTGTTAACTGTTATGTCAACATGGCTAATTGTCGCTACTGTTAGTGTATCGTTCTTATTAGCCAGATGCTATATCCAAGTAAATAGATATAAATATATATATAACATATAACATCTTCCTGTCTCTCATAGCATCTCTTTTCTCATATAAAAAACAATTAAGCCACTTCATATATCTAGTAATCGTCTTATAACATTGGAATGATGTCATCAGTGTCTAGTTACTAATAACTAAATAATGTGACTGAAATACATCATCTCAGATCAGTCAAAGCAGTTTCGTGAATATGGTGACCACACAGTAGTTATTTGGTTACGTGTATTTTGATTTACAGTGTTTCATTAAATCATAGTTAACATTACACTGATTCGCTCAATTCTATTTGTATTAGGTGTGAATGGCCCAGTTCTTCTGCTCTGCCCTGGAATTTGCGCAGTTAAAATAGAGTGCTACACGCTGATCTGTTTCTGGATCAAGGCAGGGATTAGGGATTAGGTTCTTTAGTCACACATTCAAACAGCCTGGCCACTGAACTCTGACTCTGGATACAAAGGCTGCAGAAATAGAGGAAAATAAAAACCCACCTGGTGAGCCCACCACACCATCAGATAGGAGAAGAATGCAATCCAACAGATGGCCCCCAGGAAAGTGATGGGGAAAAACTTTGTTGAAGTCTGAAGATAAAACAGTGGATGTTAATCAATAAAAACCCTCCGTTGATACGGCTGTGATACCAGATGACTACAGACGCCTCTGTGTTTGTGTGTGTGTTACCTCTCTTCTGACATCGGGCAGCGTAATCCACAGTGGAAGCACAATAGGCAGGATTAGAAGGTAGGTGAATCTTTTTCTGTTGGTGTCAGGCCAGGCCAGGCTCAAAGGCTGGTCTTCATCATCATCCTCCTCAGGACCCTAAGAAAAAGGTCATACGTTTTTCTCACACGAGCGAAGACGGCAACGTTAAGATATTTGGACACGAGCGTTAAGACCAGTCATACCGCATCTCCTCCTGCAACTCCATTCATGGGTGGTGTGACTTCTACAGCTACGTTTGCACTTTTAGGCATATTTTTGTCAGCTAGAAGAAATAGAAATGAGAGAGAAAAAAAGTGAATCACTTCCGAGCACTGTTTGGTTAAATATGGTCCAAGAAATTTGAGAGAAAAAGTGAAACTTTGTACAATTTGTATTCTTCAAGGGTTGTGTCTGAGACAGGGCCGCTGTGTGGAGGAGATGTTTAACCCATGTTAAATGTCTGTGACAGTGCACCACAAACAAAAAGACAGAATATACTGGGTAACTAATATCAAAGGGAACTGATTTACCCACCTATACCATTAACGGCACCTTCTTTACACTTCTGCTTGGCCATTTTGTGAAGGATTGAGGCCTTCTCTTTGAAACCTTCTACTAAAAGAAAAAGTTGACAATGAGAAAGAATAGAGGACAAAATTACACCCAGCAGTGTGTGTTGTCAACTTCACCTAAAGAAGTCATTTAGAAGGCCTCATTAACAAAATCAACATTTTGTCAGCTGATTGTAAATCAAATATTACAGGGGGTCCTCGGTTTATGACGTCCTCGACCTACAGCGTTTCGCAGGTACATCGCCATCTCTCATTAATTGATTAAGAAAGTCTTTGTCCATCATTCTGACGTACTGCATGTACAGTATGTGAGGTCGGACTTATGAGCAATAATAATGCTCTGTTGCCCAGTAGGAACATAATTCTTACTTAAATCGAGGACCCACTGTAGCGCTACCAGGTTCTTGATCTGCAGACTTGATCTCCAGTTCCTTCTCATTACTACAGTGCTTAGGCCTGTGTCACTATTATTATTGAGTGACAGTCTTTGAAATCATATGTATAACTGGCCACCAACACTGCAGCTGATAGGCCAGTTCCAGTTGCCAGTGTATGGATCGGGACAGGGTGAGCAATAGGTAGATTGGAATTTACCAGTGAAAGGCAGAGAGAGTGCTGGTAGATCATGAGAAATTAAAATAAAAATATGAATAGAATATAATCTATAGTGTGTAGTAGTGACCATAAACTGTAACAACAGAATCATATTGTGGATTTAATCAGAACCCTGACGTAAAGATCACATTAGCCTGGGCTTTTTGAATAGGGCACCCCTAAAACCGTGGCACCATATCCAAAGAAAAATCCATTCATATTTGTTGCACATTACACCCTCCTCCACTTTGTCCCATTGTTTGTTTTTTATCCAGGTCTTTTTCAAGGCTAAACACAGACAAATCAAGATGGATGTATTCTAGAGAGTTGGGCTCAGGTGTGTTGTCACGCCTGTTGTCGTGTGTCTGGTGGTAAGTGTAACATTACATACCATCACCATCACCATCACCATCATTGCTGAGAGGGTCCAGTGTGTGTATCATGAGTGTGAAAATACTGTTCCTCATCAGGGTGTTGTGCAGAGAAGCACAGCTGCCCTCTCTCTGCAGCCTGGGCTTGGCCTGTGTAAGTGAGGTCACAAAGGTCAAAATAGTCATATGTGAGTTGTTGGATGTACACATTTCTTTTTTTAATGTTTTATTACATCAATATCAATAAAAACTAAAGGTCCATGCACATTTTACTCTACAACACACAGGGAAAATACATCTAAAAGTTGTAAATATTATTAATAATACCACTACTACACACTTACTGCATTTAGTGCTTAAATAGACGATACATACACCTTATTTCTACCATCCGGCTATTACTTATATATATAAACTTACTGTCAACTTGTTCTCATCATTCACTGGTGGATTAACCTATAAAAACCAAAAACAAACATAAACATCAACCTGTTGTAGATACAGTCATTTTCTTTACAGCTTTAACCATGATGTTTATGCAGACTTATTCGTGTTCCTAATTCAGTAAAACACAAATCACATTGTGTAAATATTATTGCGATTATTTTCATTATTTCACCATCAATGTTGCGTTGGCATTTTAATAGAAAAGACAAGAGATTAAAAATGTCTTTCTCTTTGTTACTTTGTTACTAAAAAAGAGGAACACGTGCTGGTTGTATAGTTTATATAACTCCCATCAAAGTCCATAGGAAACCCATGTTCCCTAAACTTTGGAAAAGACGTGGCAGTACTCTCTTTGCTAAACGTTGTATGACAATAGTCTGTATATTTGATCACAAAATTCTAATAAAAATACTTTACTAAAAATATTTAGGTAGAAAATTGTTAGCATTTTTATTAGCATACTTTTTGTTTGTTGTTTTTAACCACCGTTCACCGCATCTATTTAACAACAATTCTATATCATCCATATCTATCAAATGCACATGCTACAGCCAAAATTGTAATAAGATTCTTTTCAGCAAAACTACTGACGTTCACCCTCCTGTCGCTCTCTCACAGTACTGTCCCAGCAGTAGGACTAATCCACAGAGATCACCACATTTAGACTGGTTACCTTCAAGTCTACGTGTCTTTGATGAGGGTCGGGTAGCCTTACATGTGATTTTATGATTACAGGCATTTCAAACACTTTCCTGCACAACTGCAGATTGAAATTCTGTTGGTCTGTGAGGTTGATCCCACCACAACAGGTTAACAGTCAATAATGGAGATTAAAAACCATTTATATCTTGACTTGTACATTTATACTCTCTCCCGTGTACCATAGAAACTGAAAACCATTGACCTGTAAGTAAACTAACCATGGAACACCACACTTTTTGATTCAAGATTCAAGATTACCCCCCCCCCCCCCCCCGCGGGGTCCGCTCTGTCTTCACCCACGGACGCCTCCATCTCCTTGTTGCCTCA